CCACCCCCACCACCACCCCCACCCCCACCACCACCACCAGCACCAGCACCACCACCACCAGCACCAGCACCAGCACCACTACTACTACCAGAAGCAGCAGCAGCACTACTACAACCACTACCATTAGCAGAACCAGTAAAACAACAGCAACTACCATGTTTAGACCCATCATTATGTTGATCAAGAAGTGTATGATTATTATAACATGAACAATGATGATGATGATGATGATGATGATGATTAAATTTATATTTTTCAATTTTTCTCTCAAATCCTAAACGAACATTAATTGCTAAAGCTTTAGCTGTATGGTATCCATATGTAGCCACTTTGAAACGCTTCTTAATTTGTCTCCTCTCCTCATAGAAGCTTCCAATCCAACTTTTTTGGGTGCGGTCGAAATAGACCCCTTTCATAGGTCTCATTTCTTCTGTTATATCTTCTATAGATAATTTATTATTATTATTATTATTATTATTATTATTATTATTATTTATTATATTATATTTATTATTTGCTTTATTTATTGATGATTGTATTGTACTCATTGAGATCGTACTAACAAGGGGTGATGATATATGCGTATCTGATGGTATTGCTCCTGTAACAGACGAGGAAGAGGAAGAGGAGGACGAGGAGGAAGAGGAAGAAGAAGAAGAAGGAGAAGAAGAAGAGGAGGAGGATGAGGAAGAAGAAGAGGAGGATGAGGAAGAAGAAGAAGAGGAAGAGGATGAGGAAGAGGATGAGGAAGAGGATGAGGAAGAGGATGAGGAAGAGGAAGAGGGAGGAGGGGAAGGAGAAGGTGTAGGGGATAGGATTGATGATATACGACAGGCAGGGTTGGTACTTGGAGTGGTGCTGCTGTTGTTGCTGCTGCTGCTGCTGTTGCTGCTGTTGTTGCTGCTGTTGCTGTTGCTGCTGCTGCTGCTGTTTGATGGGTTTGGTGACTTAGAGGAAGAAGAAGGAGGAAGAATACAATTGCCTACAACACGACTTATTGGATATCCACATGTGTTGCTGCTGCTGCTGTTGGTGTTGCTGCTGCTGCTGCTGCTGTTGGTGTTGCTGCTGTTGTTATTTATACAACAGAGACTGTTGACACTAGCACTGCTGCTGCCGCTGCTGCTGCTGCTGCTGCAGCAAGGATCTCTAGGAGATGCACATCCTGTTGTGCTACCAATTGTATCTAAATCAGCATTAGCAGCTGCAGCAGCAGCTGCTGCTGCAGCACGAATATCATATAATACTCTTGATCTATCTTCTTGCTGCTGTTGCTGCTGCGGTTGCTGCTGCAGATGATGGCGAAGAGTACTGCTGTCAAGACATCCTGCAGCAGCAGCAGCAGCAGCAGCAGGAGAACGGAATATTGTATCTGCTGCTGCAGTATAAGCACCATCATTGCTGCTGCCGTTGCTGCCTAAGGAGACAGGTGTCCCTGTTGCTGTTGTTGCTGCTGCAGCAAAAGGAAAGAAGGGGGGCCCCCCATGTGTCTCCCCTCCTATACTACCATCACCAATAATACCCGGTACTGATCCTGCTGCTGCTGCTGCAGCTGCTGCAGCAGCTGCTGCTGTTGTTGCTGCAGCAGCACGCTTTCTTACAGGCATAACAGACATATCATTATCCTCTATGCCTATGCATGCAGGGGGGCCCCCTCCTTTTATACAAGGGGGGCCCCCACCACGGGGGGGCCTCGTAGTACCCATTCTTTTTATTCTATTACTTCTTTCTGTATGATGAGGGAAACATATTGCTGCTGCTGCTGCTGTGTTGCTGTTGCTGCTGCTGCTGTTGCTGCTGCTGCTGTTGGTGCCGTTGCTGTTGCTA